CTTGGAATGTAAGTCTTACCTAAATAAGCCCATACCAAGCTTTTCCAGTAGCGAGTTCTTTTTCAGGGCATTAGAATCTTCCAAAGGAGCACCATGGCAGTTCACGGTGGCGACTACGAGCAGAATTACAATCACCAACAGAATCTCGCGTCCCATTTTATCCCGCAGTCTTACAGGAAAGTCTGCAGTCGGGCAAACGATCACGAAGTCCAAAGGCGATATGCTTCTTTCACTCAGCAGTCCGACTTATAGAGCGCTCGCTAGGCAAAAATAGACCATTATAAAAAACGAAAAAAACTAATATCAAGAAGTATGCCAAGAAAGCAATGTTATTTGTTCAGTAACGTGCTTAAGCATGAAATATCGATAGCTAATTTTACGTTGTGGACAGTTAAGGGTCAGTAACGTTTTAAAGTCCTTGTCCGTTGATATGGGTGATGAAGTAGTCACTTAATTTCAAATATAACAATTTGTACTTCCACGACAACAAGTCAAAACATCAATTTCGAATAAATACGTTGCATGAATTCATTTGTATTTTTGACAAGGGGCTGGTCTTGAGACAGGAAATTGAAAAAGATTTGTTAAGTAAAAACTCCAAGCTTTTTCCTCACTCGAAATGCAACACGTTCAGTTTGATTAAAAATTCCACTGTGACAAAATTTTGACTTAAAGACTTTTTCTTCAGTTTAATCATGTTTGTTTTCACAGTAAAATACGGACAAAAAGGGCAGCTTATTAAAATAACGTCGTTTACAACGTCAAGTATTTGAAGTGCATGCAAAACAGCTTACGAGATGATACTAATATCATTGAAATGATCGTAATCTGCAAGATGATTCATTTTGTGAAAGAAGTTTTTTTTTTAATTTTTGGACGCTAGCCCACAGATACCAAGGTTATCAACGACCATAAAAAGGCGTGATAAAATAAGATTAGAAAGTGTAGCGGTTTGGCCGTAACAACCCGCCGAGACACTAAATGAAACTGAAAGATCTAGAAGAACTCAGAAAAAGAACCAAGAAGTAGTGTTCTTTGGGCATCATTGGTGCAAAACTGCACCGTGAACGTGTCATATCAAGATTTGAACGTTTTTTTAACATCACTGTTTAAAATATATCTCCACATGAAGAGCAGTTTCTCAAAAAACATCACGTAATGTAATGTGGTTCAAATTGAGGTTGAGAGGCTAGCAAAGAAACACTGAGATCACTGTAGCGACTCGACTTCTTTTTTTACAGATATTTTTACAACGTTACTGGGGTATGAGGGAGGCTGGCCCGGCTTAACAACCGTTTTTTATGTATGCGCTTACGAACATTTGACTGCAAAAGGGTCTTGTCTAACGGTAATTCAACCAAAGTTAAAAAGCAAACCAAGGTCATGTCAAAGGGCTTTACAGCGGGGTCATTCTTTTAATATGTCTGAGATCAGGGTAGCGACTCGACTTTTTTTTTTTTCAGATATTTTTACAAAGTTTTATTTCATATATATCCTTTATTAAACGTCTGTGTCGTCGATTAACTCCGCGATCTACCTTCAAATTACTTTTGTGAATAAATATTATAATCATTAATAGTATTTTCAAATGTGTCCATTCAAGATTTCAAGTTACATGCTATAATTAGTCAATCATATTATATTTATGACCACAAAATAGTCATTGCTATAGTTATTCTAACTATTGTTAGCACTTATTGTGTTGCTACGAAGAAGTAAACTCGGAAAAAAAAAGTTTGTTTACTGACAAATAAAATGTTAGGATTGGTGTGTAACCATAATTAATTTTGTTATTATTCTAGCAATTATTTCTACCGCAATCAATACTTACTATATAGCTATGACAACACAGCCTCGAAGAGACTTAGGACATGGTGTGTTAAGAAATCAAAAAATATCTTCGTAAAAAAAAGAGCGACTGAATTTCTTCTGTTAAGCGTCGGTAGTAATCGGGATTGCATTCTTTTGACTTCGCTACGCTCTGTGATTTTCCGGTAAACTCGTGCCACGCTCTCGACCCTCTTAATTCAGTAAAATGTGATCCCACGCTCGATTACGCGATTTTATTTTAGGAAATTGCATTTCGCATAGAGATATATATTGCAAACAGTATTGTTTAAGAAAAACCTGTGCAAATGTTAATATAACGCGATTACACTGCAGTATTTTTCCTAAAAAACACCACTTCATAGTTCTTTGTCTGAGTTCTTATACATAAGCTAATATAATGACATTTGATTTTGTGTCTCAGTGTGTTGTTATAGCTGGACTGTCCTAAACGTTCTAACCTAATGTGACCCCGTTTCTTTATAATCACTTTAACTTTGGTATTTGTAGGTTAACGTCCAATAATATTAATAATAAAAATTTCTTGAGATGAATTGTCTTGTACTTAAATTTACAAGTTTTGTGATCTTTCCAAACCACTCTGGAAATATACCGATACCGACCCAGGATCTTATTTTCATCATGTACTTCAAACACTTGACGTTGTAAACACTATTTGTTTTTTCTGTCAGTATTTTATTCGATTCTAAAAAAAATGGAGAATGACAAAAAAGATGATAAGTGCTGAATCAAAACTTTATCACAATGAAAGTTTCAAGGAAATGCTATGCCGTTTGATGTTTCGACAAAGGAAAAAGCTTGTAGATTCTAAATATCTCACAATTTCCTTTTTCAGGACTTGCTTGTTATCAAAAGACAGTTAATCAAGTTACGAATTTTAGTCTTTAAAACCGAACATTTTTACTTGTTGTCGTGGAAATACAAATTTATATAGTAACATGCAATTTGTCACCCATATCAACGACTAGCAACGTAACAAACCTTTTTTTTAGTTGCTTCGTAAAAATAGCTGCTGATATTAGATACTTATGCAGAAGTTTAAGCAAATAACCTTGTTTTTAGGCATATTTTCTGATATCATTTTTTTAATTATGATCTATTTTTGCATAGCAAGCGTTTTATAACCCGGATTGCTGTGTGAAAGAAGCACATCACCTGTAGTTTTCGTGATCGTTGACTGCAGACTTTCCCGTAAGAGCGCCGGATGAAATGGGACGCGAGATTCTGTTGGTGATTGTGGTTTTGCTCGTAGTAGCCACCTTTAACTGTCATGGCGCTCCTTTCGAAAATCCAAAAGCACTGAAAAGAAACTCGCTTCTGAAAAAACTCGGCATGGAATTATTAAGGTGAGACATGAATGCAACTTAGATTTATTCAGTTTTACAAGACGATGCCGTGGCTTAATAATTAATTGGGATTTGCTTTGACTTTGTTGGCCTCGCGGCTCGAGACTTGCATTGTTGTTTTTACGAAGAACAACTATTCAAATCAATAAAAACTTTCCTCGCCAAGATAGAAAGTTGTCTGCGATTGATTTGGTTTTGAGCAAGTTCGCTCTGTGATTGGTCCAGCAAACTGGCGCCATCTTCTCAACCAATTAGATTCAAACTTGGTCATCCGCGTTTTCCCGCCATTCTGGTGGTTTGCTTGCTTTTGCTTTGACTTCTCCTTGTCAAATTTTCCTTTAATCTGATTGGCTTTTGTGGTTACCATGGTTTTGGTTTCACGAAACTCATTCGAAAAGCTCTGTAATTATGAATAAGTCTGTTTCCGCCATCTTTTGTTCATCAGTGATCCATACTACTACCGCCGCTATTATAAACCTCGTAAGTACCGCACAGGAAAAGGAAAAAAGAAGAAGTATGGTGGAGCTAGCACTGACTCAGAAGAGGCAGGGTGGTCATCCTGGGGGTGGGGAGGCTGGTCCTCAGATGAAGAATAGGTAGGTTATGGTTATGCGCATGCGTAAGACATGTTTATTGTCTCGATTTCAAAACGAGGTTAAGGGCAATCCTCGATTTCAAGATTTTTTGTAATCCTCGCAATAGCCTGCAAGCTGACAATTTTTTTTTTCACATTTCCTCGTTTAGAAAGTGAGGGTTTACGCATAGAGAGAATTTTGAGCCATTTGGCGACTTTCCTGTTTGTAAAATTTGCCCCGAAACTGACAAACTGTACATGCATGTGGTTCATTAATGGAAAACAATTTCTCTTTCAAAGTCCTCATTTCCTTGCCCCACGGTCGTTAAATCATTGTGCTTTATACATCCCCGTACACTATATATCTACCAGAAACTTGTTCAGATATGCTGAAAATGCGACAGCTCTCAGAAGGAATGAAAAAGGCGAGCATAAAGACTACTTACCTCATCTTATCAACAACGTCAAAGACTTGGTATCGATGATATCTCCTACATGATGCATAAAATGTATTTTTCGACACGAACATATTCAATCACGTAACTCACTTTCAGTAAAAATAGTGTCAAGGAATCAAAATACCGTAGCCAAGAAATAATTTTTTTCGTATTATTCTACAGAAGATGACATAGATATCAGAGAAAAGCAAAGTCAAAGGATTCCAGGAAAATAATGGAAAAAAAGTTGACTTTAATGTAATCATGCAGCTGTAAGCTTTAAGAGGGTTTGGACGAGCTTTTATAAAAAGTAAGCTGTATTTAAAAACGATTTTTTTTAATGAAATAAAGAATGCGTTATAAAAAAAAATATAGCTTTGATCCTTCGTGTCATTCTATGCGGAAAGGATGGCGAACTTTCTTCAGTAGTGTTGTCACGTATTTGGTGCGCGGTTGTATGTGGAAATTGTTTGGATTTCAATATACAAACTTTTGGGGATCACACGGTTTTCGGGGGAGAACAGAAAGGGAAGTCAGTCGTTGCTTACAAAGTATAACAGGGGACTATAGAAAATTGACAGCCAATGGGGGGAGATCATTCAAAAACTACAGAGCCTTAGGGATCAAGTAAATATCTTGTGACACAGCCAAAAGCGTCCGACTCCTTCCTCCCCCCCCCAACATCATCCCTACCCCCGCCAGGGAATAAATGACGACCGGTCCCTACCTGTAAACAGGTGATGAACATTGTCGAACCTATTTGAAAAAGTTTCCCATCTTCATGCGACACCAATATTTCCTAACTCATACATAAAGTTTATTTGATTTATTATTATTAGCTAAAAGAGACGATTGCAAGCCGCATCTTGAGAATTTAAATGTTAAAATTTTATCATTATAAGGCTACACCATTTAAAAAGAATGCAGAAACGAAAGTTGTAAGGGCAGAAAAAAAGCAAAGTCACAATCGTGGCAGAGTTTCTTCTATTTTTTTTTTTGTCGCGATATTCCGTTAGTTCCTCATAATCCTTGTCCTTTCATTGATTTTCCATCCATTGCTGTTTTCAATATCGATTCTCTGCAGAAGAGATTACAGCGTGTTAAAATACTTTTCTTTGAAAAGCGAAATATTTGACACGTTTAGTCAACGTGGAATTTTGGGATCTATTTTTACAAGCAACACAACAAAGCAAAATGCGACAAAAGCGATATCTCTACGACGCTTCCAATTATTCTAATTGGGTCTGAGTTCCTGAGAACAATTCAAGGTAATCCTTCGTGGGAGAAATCCCTTTTCCATAAATAGCCATCAGATAAGAAGTTCGGCTTTCCCTGGAGCTTGTAGCCTTGGAAACATTTTCGAGTCTCGTAGTGTGGGTGGGGGGGAAGGGGGTTCTTTTTTCTCCTTTTTTTTCAATTTGTCGCCTTTGATTCGTACAGCTTTACTGACTGAGTTAAGTCTGATTTTTTTTAGAACAAGTCAATTTTGATTGATTGTCTTAATTCAAAAATCGTAGTAATCACAACAGCCGAGTAGGGAAGAAAAAATACACAAGGAGTTAGTAAACACGGTTTTACCGGCAGCGCCATAAAACGCCTCGGATAAATTAAGAAAATAGCGTAACGTTTCTAAACCATAAATATATGAACTCCATATATTCATCATATCTGGTTTCTAAACTAGTCGTAAAGGGAAGCCATTGAAATTGGTAAAACAATTTTAGAGCAACTTCCACATTGCATTGGTTTTCGTAGTTTCGCTCTGTGATTGGTCAAGATAACTCGCGCCTATCTCTCTCTCTCTCTCTCTCTCTCTCTCTCAACCAATCAGATGCAAAACTAAATCCAATCACAACTCAGCCACCTACATTTCCTTCGCTTGAGCCAGTTTCCTTTCTTTTTTTTTTTCTTCTTCACCTAGGGTTCTGCTCGGCACTTTGAAGTAAATAATGGTGATAACTTTGTTTTTGGTATTGCGACATTTCATCGCGCGATAAGTTTTCTTTTCTCAACTCTCAACTGACTCTCGTTGCTCAAATTAGACAAGAACGAAAATTTGACACTCACCTACTCTTCGTCTGAAGAACGGTTCCCCCGATACCGAAATCCTCCGTATTTCTTGTATTTACCATATTTTCGGTAATATCCGGGTGATCCGCCATTGTCCGAGTCAGAGTCAGAGTCTGAGTTCGAGTCGGAATCACCCTTTCGCTTCCCGTACCGGCGTCGCTTAGGTCCACAGTAGCAGCGCCGTTTGTATGGTTTGTAGGGTTTGTATTCGTAGTAGGCTGGATCCCTGGTGTTAAGAACAAATAATTTAAAACCCCTGTGTTGATACCCCTGGGATTACTCCTGGGCCTGTCGTCCCTGGGGGACAATTATACAAAATGACAAGGACGTTTGTCTCGTTAATCAAGCCGTCGAGGGAAACCATTTAAGGCGTGGTGTTGCGTTTGACCCCTGTGAGATTCCACTTCTTGGTTTTTGTAAACAACTGTTTTTTTATTCCCTTGCGTGCATCAGAACGTTAACAGCCAGTAATATCAGCGCATTGTCCTGAATTGCTGGCGAGTGACTTGAGACCTCAAAAATTCCTTTCCTTTCCAAGGAGAATCTCTCGGTTTTTTATACTCCAAAAAAATATTTGATTTGATTCTACACGTTGTTTGTCCTTGAACTCGCTGATTTTCTTAAATCTCCACCTATTTTTCTCCATTTTTGAGGTTTATTTCCTTTTGTTTTCCTCCCTGTTTCCCTGCGTCGGAATCTTTAATCGATAACCCGTTTTACTAACCGTAAACACACTTTTTTTATGCGTTGGAGTATAAATGGCGTATACATGGGCACAGTGCCGAAAATATTTAATTAAAGAAATCCCTAGATTAATGTTTGTGAGTTTTAAAATCCAGTCCAGAATGAAAAGCAATGCATTCATATAAAGAGACTCAGTTTGTGGCGATCCGTACAATAACCTTATATAATCACGTATATGATATCAACCACTGTCACTAATGATCCAAAGTGGAAAGCTTTTTTGAGTTGGTGGTTTATCAAGTACTTGGCGAGTTTCATCAATGTTCATGTCAAAAAAGAACTTTGAAATCAAATTCTAAATCGCCTCGAGGGCTTCTAAGGACAATTTCGATAGGAATGCAATCGTGGGTAAGAAAATGGTGAACTGCTGGACCTGTTTAACAACCATTTTACTACACTACCTCCTTAAAACAACTTGATGTAACAGATTTATTTACTCCTTTTTCTTACCTGTGTAATTCCATGCCAAGTTTTTCTAAAAGCGAGTTCCTTCTCATCGCATTAGGTTCTTCTTCAGCAGAGCCTTGAATAAAGTTGACTAACACTGTTAATACCACGATAATAAGAAAAAATCCGCGATCCATTTTACCTAAAGACATGTTAAAAATCTATGAGTGATCGCAAACTAAAATCTTGTGTATGATTCACCTCTTGACCTCGTAATCTAGCTTTTATAACGTGCATTATCTTAAAAGGTTCCTGGTCACAAGACTAATATATGTACACAAACAAGCCTGTCATCGGTTCCTTTTGAAACCGAGATTTCTTATGCCGTGCGAATTGAGTCTCGTTTTAATTACACGAGCAATACAGCGAGTTATCTATTGCCAATATCGAAGTGCTTTTTCCTAAACTGGAGACTCTATTTATCCTACTTGAAGTTTTTATTTTAAAATTCCTTGACGACAACTCTAAACTGTGAAAGAGCGTCGAACAGATGCTTAAAAAATTTCAGAACAGAGCTCTATCTTTTAGTTACAAAAAAATAAATTTTCCATTCCTCTGAATCCGACTTCCAAAGTCTTTATGCGCGAGAATCAATTTTGCTGAGAAGAAAATCGCACACTTGATATTCAATAAAGTAATCATCTTCCAAGAAATGGAAAAATTATATCGCGTTCAATAAGGGAGAAGAAAAAGGTCTCAGTATCCATGGAAACCAAAACAGAAACACTTTATCGTCAAGGAAAGTACTTTGGGATAGTATTCTTTTCATGAATACTCCTAGAACAAAAGTTATTGTCACTATATTTACTATGTTAAGCACTGGCTCAGTAGCTTTCAATATCAAACTGTTACGCGAAAAGGGAAGTTAGTCTACAGAACATTTCTTTTTCTATTGCAATTGGATTTAATCTTCTCATCCGTGCTATCTTCGCTTTATTTGTTTAATTCCCACCCCCATCTTTTTTAATACCTCTCCGTATTAAAAAAAAAAATTATTATCATTTTATAGTGGTTCTCCTTAAGATTGAAGGTAAGTAGATTTTCACCTCGCAGTAAACCACACAAAATAGCGCGAACTTGCTTCTTAAAGGTCCCTCTGGATAATGCATCACATTACTACTCCATGGCTTTCACTTGAATCAAAAACAACCATTGCAGCCCTGACAAGCAGTAGTAGTAGTGACTATAGCTCATTAGCCTTCATTTAGATAGTCATGTCTCAGGGTTTGACCCAAAAACATAATTCAATTTAGAAACCCCCTGTTTAATGCAAACGGTGGCAGTAGTATAAGAGTGTAGTTCTCGGTAGCTTTGATCCAGGCGTTCATTAGCTTTGCTTTAACTAAAGACTTAGAGGAGGAAAAAAAAAAAAAAACACCGCGCACAAAAACAAAAAAATTATTGTCCGTCGGTAACCCAAACCCATGCACACTGAGATTTTCCTTCTGTATTGGTTCTCTTTTAAAAATGCTCCATGAGGTGTATGTGCACGTGAGTCAAACCTTTTTAATATTGAGAATTAAAGGAATTATTAAAATAATAATGATGGCTTTAAAGGCTGTGAAATCTGATGATATTGCATCTACTCAGAAACAGCTAAGGGCCCACTTACGCCCAAGAACATGCTGCTATGCGATTGGATAACTATAGTCAGTCAACAAGTCGAAATACAAGGAGAACATTTTAACCTTAAGTAGTGGCTAAAAATGAAGCTTTATATTGCGCTATTCAATCGTAAGAGCTAATATACTTTATATTGAAAGCTGAAAGAAGAACTGGAGAAGATGAAACGCTAAACAAAAACCACTCTTATTTTCTGGCTTAACAATTTTCTTTCTTTTTCAGTAAAACACCTACATCAGTTGCAAGTTGTCAAGGAGGCATCGCTCGCCGAAGCCTGAAAAACCAATATGTCCAAGTGTGAAGGGCAATAAAAAGATTGCCAAAACAAAAGTGTGAGTTCTAAATGACCTTTATTTGAAATTAAAGTGAGAACGTCTAATGAAAATTGCTAAGTTTTACATGTTGGAGAGAAATATGTCTTGAAACAACATTATGTCGCTGACAGGTTACCTATACTAAAAGAATTTTTTTTTTACACGAAATTGAATTTTATTCCTGCATTTGCAATTATCTTGAATAATCTCAACGTACTTAAGGATATGGTTTTACGAAGAAAAACTGTTTCTTCGATAAATCACAGCGGTGCCACATTTTCATTGATAACTGTATAATTGCATGTCCTCCCATTTTCTGTGACAGTTTTCGCGGATCCTCTTTAATTGGTTCTTTTCATTGAGCTTTTTCCCTACAGTTTTAAAAATATTTTTTCGCTATACTTTTGCACGAAGTGAAATTCTAGTTGGAAAAAGGAGAGTATTTACTCTTGCCTTGCTCAGATAAGTTCTCTGTTCCTCAAGTAGCAAAAAAAAAAAAACCTTCCAACCTAAATGACTAGATGAATTGTTAAAACAGACTTTGACTCCCTGCGATTTAGTAGAATATGTTCTTAATTTCGTTTGCGTTTCTCTGCTATAAAAAAAATGACGTTAAGCCTGTCGCTCAATCTCCTTGATTAAGTCCAGTTCCTCTGAGTTATAAAGGATTTCAACCTTGGTTTTGTGGCTGGTTCCACAGGCTGCTGGAACAGCGGTTGTTCCGTGAATAGCCACGCTTTGCAGCTGTTTTCCCTGTGTCAGTAGCGAGGCAGTGTCTTCCTTGACTAAGAGATCTGACATTGTTCTTGTTTCCCATTGGGAAAAGACCAGCTTTTGTCTTGTTTCGTCAGACAAAGTTGATTGAAGAGGATTCACAAGTGATTCTGCTGCTGCCACTGGTCTGAGAGCATCTCCATTTGCTAAAGAAGGTATATTGTCACAATCTTCTGTTCCTTTGTTCGAAAAAGACCGCCTGGCACCTAAAAACCTAACTTCATGGTCACGTGGTACAGCAAGAGCATGTGCAGTAGGGTCCTTCACATCTCGACCAAGTGACTCGTCGTCAGTCGTGGATTCCAGGCTCTCTGTCTCGTTTATCACATAGCTCGGTTTCACTGCTGGTTTTCCATTTCTCTTGGAGAGGGCGCTCCATAACTCACTTGATTGAGCTCCAAAAACTTCAACGATAGACTCATCCAAGTCAATATCCTCTGCTGTGGTAAGCTGACTTGGCGAGTAGCTTTTTATTACGTGTTTATCGTTTTTAAAATTATTTTTTACTGGCGCATCCAAATCAGCCGGTTGAATGTCCAGGATCTCCCTGATAGCCTCATCCAAGTCGATTTCTTCTGCGCGATCAGAACTCTTCTTTCTTGCGCTTTTCTGAGAAACCACAGGGCCTTGCTGTAAAGACGTATGTAATTCAATGGCTGAAATGCTTAAAATCTCCTTAATGGATTCGTCCAAGGCAATCTGTTCTGTTTTCCTAGCAAGAGAAGAGGATTGAGGAGAACACATTATTGCAGTATCTTTTTGGCACTTACTGTTCTCCTGTTTTGCCAACGTGATGTCCTTTTGTATCGTATCCCCTTTAAATGAATCTTGCAGGGAAGGTGACCCAGTAAAAGATCTTACGACGGTTTTTACATTTGAATCAAAATCTTTTAGATCCATCGTAGAATCGGATTTCCTAATGGTATGATTTTTTTTAGCACCTAAAGCTGTGTAGGAACATGATCGGTTTGGTCGATGCGTTGTCTCCTCCACTGCGCCATCTTCGACTAACTTGCACTTTCCCTGTCTTTGTTTGCGAGTGTGATCCTGTTTTTGATTTGGAAATGCGCGAGGAAGGTTAGCATCAGGAGCATAACCTTCACTTTTGTTAATATCGTCAGCTAATGAACGTCTCGGGTTTCTAGTTTTTGGGCGAGCCTTAACGCCAAAAGTAGAGTATTCTGTCCCTGTAATTTGTATCTCCGGCGAGAAATTTGTTTTGAGGATTTTTCCTGAACGTACTGAGAAATAGTCTGGCAATTCTGAAACTGGGCCACTGGAAACGTTCGACGCTTGTGAATCTGTTTCCCCTGAGTTTTTCAGTGGGATCGTCATATTCATTGTTTTCCTACCAGATCTTTTCTCTTTAGAGCGTTGAATTGAGTCAGGTGTCAACGACCTCGTTTCACCTACAACCACCCTGTGTTCAATTTGGTTTTTGTCACCAGAACCTAACAGAGTTAATCTTTCTGGTTTGATGTCAATTATATCGTCTGAAAGGATATTTTCTATAACTTCTGCAATTTCACTATCATCTTCCTCATTCGGTTTTTGTAGATCCAGAAAATTATTGATCTTTTCTTGAGACAAGGATGTAGTGGGGGCTAATGATTCCAGACCAAGTAGTTTGTCCATTTCCATGGCCAAAGATAGCTTAGGATTGCTTGTTTTTGGGCGTGTTAGGTCAGCGGTAGACTCAGAAAAAGGTGCTTCATGTGGTCCTGGAGCAAAGATATCGTCACATAGGATGTACTCTATGTCCTTATTCAACTGTTCATTTTCCTTTGTGCTTGAAAAAACCGCCCTTTTGGGAGCTGGAAATGGCCCTAAAATCGATGAAGTTTCCAAACCCTTTGCCAAAATGCTATCTTCAAGATTTCGAATCGGGAGAGGAATCTTTTGGTCGCGAGAACAGCATTTTCCTGATGCCTTTTTATTTTTTACTGCAAAATCAGGGCGAAAACATTTTGACTCCTGACCTATCATGTGACTGTTTCCTCTCATCAAGGAGTTTTTGGGTCGTTTTGCCTTCTTATTCGTCGAAACTTTCCTACACTTTTTGTGGTTATTTGATTCACTGGGACTGACATCATCATTCAAGATGTATTCGATATCTTCTGCGAGTTTTTTGAAAGATATTGTCAACTCACTTGCTCTTGTGGATTGCTTTGTTGAGTCCATTTTAGTATTCGAGACCTTGTGGAACTCAGTGAGAGTTCTACGTTTCGCATGAGACCTTGAATCTGTCGAGAAGATGGAGGCATTCTCAGGATATTCTTTATTAAAAGTTTCTGCTCTTTCCCTTTCTACTATGGTGTCCATTTGGTCCATATTAACGCTTTTGTTCAAAGGAAGCGTTTGTTCATCAGTTTCTTCCACAGTATTAGTGGGCCAGTACAGTACTTTTCGATCTGATTTCATCCACCCAGGCAATGGAGAATTCGATGCTTTTGACTTTTTTCGTGACTCTTTATTACTGA